AATTTCTTAAGGTCACTACTGCGTCAAAAAGGCCCTGTTTTGATGTTTGTAAAACATTTATAATATTCTATAATATGATATTGAAATCATACATATTACTTTTCCGTACACTACGCTACAGTATTTACATTTCATCATGTCACGTACGCTCAACTTTGGCCGGTTCAGGCGGGTTTTTCGGACTCCACGGTGTACGTTAAGCTTGAATAGCCGCTCACACTCTACACCGTCGTCACTGAACGGTGTGCTAGAGATATATATTTATTATATTATATAATAGTGAGCGTTTTCGTTTGGACGTTGCAGGCGGCGTTTACCAGCAGAAAGGCAGAGGGGGTAAAAGAGGGATGGAAACCGACGAGAGTTGTAATTACACTAGTCGTGTATACGGGATATAATGAAATACGCACACACAAAAACAATATATATATATATATGTGTAAATGTAGTTATCTCGTTCGGTCGTTTATCATTCGACTCAGAATGAATTAAAATTCACACATACACACACACACACACTCGAGAGTGCGGGTAGGACTCTACATATATTATTGCGTATTGTCTATGGCATCCGGAAGACGACCCTTCGCGAGACCGTTCGTCGAGAGCTACAACCCCGTCGAGGGGTACTACGATGACACTGACGACACACGGTTAAGGAGAGACGCTGTGAGTGACGACAAGACGCGTGTCGTACCATCTCTGACAGATTGATGTTGGGGACTCGTACAGTGTATAATAATATAATATATTGTGAGGATGTTCGCTCCACAGTCGTCCTCGTTGGTTAGGTTAGGCGCTGGCTTTGACCTTTGTCGTGGCGTCCGAAGACTCTCCCAAGTAGAAAATCTAACTGCCGTCCGACCACCTTTGAAGGAAAATACAATATAATATATGATATAATATCGGTTATTATATGGGTATAGTACACAAATCGGTCAACACACTTAATAATATTACGCAGACCAACAACTGTCCTCTCTAAACTTTTGAACATCCATAGTTACATCGCTGCTTTATGTGCATAAGCTTTGCACTCAATATTGCTTAGCACTTGAATGTAATATCACATACAATTTTTCAATTTATGTAAGTTAATAAAATTCATGTATAACAGCAGTCTTGTTATAAGCCAAAAAATTTGGTGAATAGCAATATTACATTGTACAAAAATAATTTTTAGCTTTTATGACAACTTTAATAAGTATGTATCATTTGGGTTTATAGCTAATTAAAAAGGAAGTGTGTAATAAAAATCGCATGCTGTATAGAATATTATGTGTTATTAATGATGCCAAAGAATATTAAACAAAGAATATTGAAAAAATATTTTGATAACATTTTCCTCGTTCTATGAGCGTAATTGAAACGCACGAAAACGAAAAATAATTTTTATTTGATGTTTATTGTATACCAACCAATAACAAAAAAGCACCTTTTATTTGTACATAATATAATAATATATAATACACTTAGTCATCTCGAAGGCTGCTGAGACGTATCATAGTGTGCGTTAGTTAATCTAACGAAGTTTCCACGAAAACCCATTGGTTATTCGGTAACAATCAAAGTGTGCCACATTTAATTTATTTTCGTTGTAACTGAGTAACTGAAAGCAGCTGTAACTGCCAAAAAATATCATATTTAATTAAACCCTAGTATATTATGTTATACAAAGTGATTCACCAAGCATATTCATCCCCTATTTTTTTCTCCAATAATGTAGCTATCCAAAATCCGATTCGTGTACTTTTTAAATAAACGAAAAACCCATATTACTTTCAAATTATTGAATCTGTTTTTACTACCATTTACTACCTACATAAGGAGTTTACTGATTAACAACTGAAAAGCTTCAATATTATGCTGCTGTACACATGTATATTGATCCAATAGTGTCGTTGTATTTATATAGGACGATGAAAACAAATTTCAACCGTTCGAAAATTGATTTTCTAACAATATAGAGTGAACGGTGCACCGTGTTTTAACCGAATAATATAATAATATATTTTATATACAATGCGAAATGTACTATATTTATATATACGACTTAAAATAAGACCTGCAGGTGATATTTGAGATTCGCGGAAATAATTGTTTTTATTCCCTATCCGGAATACAATACAAATACACACACACACACACACACACACACACACACACACACACACACACACATACACACACACCCACACCGAAGCATAACTAGGGATCTACTACTATTCGATATATATATACTATACATATATAAAGATCTTCAACTAGATGAAATGTTGAGCACAAACAATACTTTATATATTAATATATGTTTGGTACGTCATGAGAAACTGTACGAACATTATACTGTCTGCATTTAAAACAATAGATGCATTGTTATCATCGCGTTTAATTAATAACTTTGATTAGATACTAAAGCATACCGAGGTTAGGCTACTGCAAGAAAACCTTTTCATCAATTCAAAATTGTTTTACGTACATAAAAAAATTTATTCCTGTAAAAATAAAATATTTAACGATATCATTAAGTAGGTATTATCCTAATTATTGACCTCCTCTATATTTTGAAATCGAATCAAGGTATAACACTAGTACCATTTTAATTGACTCTAGAGAAAATAATTGGTAGCGAAATAATGATAGTTGCTAAGCAAAAAGAGAGAATTCAAATACAAAAGGCTTATGATTTTCATATAAAAATAAACATAATTATTTAAAAAATATTATAATAGCAAAAGAGGTTAATAATATATATAACTAGAGTCATAACTATTAATTTTAACACTTCAAAAATGTTTTTAAAAATTAACTAATTAAATGTTTAACTATAATTATGCAATTTTCTGGCTTTAAAATTTATTTTCTATTATTTACTAACTTTTGGCATGGATTTAATACATTGGCTAGTATTTGGATTGGTTAGGTTATTGCAAAGGTCTTCTTTGATAAATGTAATTCCTCACATCGTTTGCATTAATTTCAAAAAGATTGTATTTACAAATTGAGTAATCACTAATAAACGTGAAATAGAAAAAAATATAGGTAGAAATACCCGAAAGATAAATCTATTTACGGAGCCACGTATTCAAGGCCACTCCCAAGCAGACCAACTTAACAGAAACTGTCCTTTGCTTAATTTTTGTTGTTATTAGCATTTAAACACCGATCGTGTTTTTTGTCGTACAGATTATTATGTAAATTAATCATTATACTTATTATTACGCATTAGTGACTGCGGCCAACCACCATGCCACACTAGAATCTGAAGTTTATTATGTATTTCTATATTTGCCTATACATCAATATTCTGCATAATATACTATTTCCTAATATATTGTATAAACATAATATTATAAAATAATTATTATAATACGCATAAAAACAACCGAATGTGATTTCCTTTTTCAGTATGTAAAATAAGCGAGAGAAATACCCAACAATATCTTAAGACTAGAATTTATCGATGCCAACTGAAATAAAATATATGATGTGATATATACTTGTGTTAAAATTGGTAAAGCTTATTATAATATTATTACATATATATTGCGTATAAAAAGCGAATGACAATCAATCGTCAGTAAAGAAAAATTGAACTTTTTACAAACACATAAGCGCGTTATTATGCTCGAGTATACGTTTATACCTATTATATTCGTTACGACGTTACATAAAAACCCTATAAATAAAAGGAAAGTCATTTACGCGGGAAACGGTTTTTTTTTTTGTTGGTGTTAAGTTAGTTTTCGCGAGACGAAGGACTCGACACGTAGGTAGCTTAGGGTCTTGTGACAACAACGAGAACTATTTTTAATTGCTTACAATACAAGTAACATCAAATATATATACAACAAAAAAAAAAATAAATAAATTACGTAACCGTTTGATGGTAAAACAGAAAGTTGTTAACGACGTGATTTAGACCATAAACTATCATCCCCGCTCACACTTTTCTATCACGATATCAAAATACAGCTTATTACGATGTATTGAGTCCATGACGAGTAGAGTAGGTATAGTTTTGAATCTTCACAATTTGAGCTTTAAATCGATAACCGTATGTCTGAAATCTCAGTTGAATATATTGCGAATGAGGGTACTATAAAGTATAAACTGTATACCCCCCCTCCCCCCCTTAAAAAGAACAATAATTTGATACGACGAACAATAATTTCTCCTATGATAAATGTTAAAAATCCGTCACGGCTAAATGTCTCTTATTCGAGTACCTATGCAGAAGTTGTTCAATGGTTTTATGAAACTGTTAATGCGATATCCATAGATAGCTACACAAAATAAATTATATTAATTAAATTAATATTTAATATCGTTATTGTGTGTGTAATAATTCTAAATCTGACTATAATACTTACAATTTTTTTAACGACCGGTTGATTACTTCCGATTATCTTCTGATTATCTATATTATCATTGTTATCAATAGCCTCGGTCGTCTTAGGCTCCTCTCATTAGTAAGAAAAAATATGTTACATTTGTTGTCAATAAAATACAATTTGAAAATAAAAACCAAAAACATTTTTTTTTTTTAACTTGTAACGTGTTTCATTTTTCTTTTGAAGTTTGAACATTTTTTTGGAGTGTTGATTAATTATAGAATTTCGAACATTTTGTTCGAGTTCAGTCTGTCTAAAATTATGTTCTACTTGTGAATACCTAAGTTTGGTCTTGACTTTGAACAGCTCGATCCAGCTCTAGTGGCTGCTTATTCTAAGACTCCACATAACATCAAATCATTATCCTGTGTGATTGTTACGATTTATATTTTACAATTTTTCGTTTTTGTTTTTGTGTCCAACAGGCGGTCAGGAACAATGTGCTTAGCAGACGCCGGCACAGTTACCTCTGACCACAGAAACTTGACCAGTTCGGTCGAACAACGACCGACCACGACAACCGTCTAGCCAGTGACGAGAGGGTCACTCAAAGTCTGGTGGACTTGAACGACCTAAGACTATAATTATATATCTCCTAAGCCAGGCATGCTGGCGGCTCCGACGTCCCAAGGGCACCGTCGGACGAGAAAAATCGTCCGACTCGCCGTTGTGGTCGCAGCGATCGCGTTTTGCTGTGTCTCTCGAGGTGAGTACTACAAAATTATACACACCTCTCTATAACGATAGATACTTTTCGAGATTAAAACTATAATGTTTTTATTATGGATAACTACTCACGTTCAACAGCTAAAAACTACGCTTGCTCCCACACAGGTATTTAAAGGGTCCTATAATTATATTATTATGGTGCTTGACAAGAGATGTTTTGACGAAATTGCATTTGTGTATTATTAGTTTTCCACTTGGGTCTCGAATAATCGATGGCAAAATAAATAATGGAAAATATGAATAGTTATTATTAAAATTAACATTATATTATTTTAATATTACACACGTCACACACACAGCTACGCGCACAAAGTGGTGGGACAAAGCACGTATATTATACAAGAATAACCGTACAACAACCGACGGCGACGGCGGCGGCTTATCGATATAAATAACTGGTAAATCCATTGAAAATACGTTGATTTTTTTATCGAAGTAAATTACACCACTGGTAGTGACATAGGTCCCTTAATTTAAATACCTAAAATTAAAGGTCCTAGTAACCTCCTATGATCTATATGCTCATTTTTATCGGTTTTTATTTTAACAACCTCGCAAGGGTGTAATAACTGTATTTTTAGTGAATTTTGGGCAAATATCTTATAAATGTTAATTAAGGATTTAATCACAACAACAATTTTCAAGACAAGTAAAAATATTAAATTATTAAATTGACAGATCTATTAATAATATAAGTTAAAAAACCACCCATCACCGACCCACAATCCGAATCCCGTCTTTTAGAGACCAGTTATTTGTTTTTCTGGCTCTGTCCGCGCTCGATATAGTAATATCGTTGATTTTAAAATATACAAATTAAAAATATATTTATGTATATTTTAAAATCAACGATAATAATACATAGAAATAATTACCCTTGCAGCAGCCATAGTGACATGCTACTTCTAATGTACTTAAATACTACATAGTACTCCACTCATCGCCGTATCTATCTCACAAGGCAAGGAACTCGGATTTATTTAAGCAATTTATTGTTTGTCGTCATTTAAACATAGCAGTCTCTCCGGAGCAGCACTCGCACAATAATAATTATTGCAGCCTTAATACGAGTACCCATATTACACCAATAAAGCGCGGCCCGCCGCCTCCAAAAGAACCATTTAACGCTGACTAATAATATATTAATTATGTACCACAACTGGGGTGAAATTATTATTATCACCAATTTGCAGTTTACGGTCGACAGAAAATTATTGTAAAGTCAGCTAACTACCAACACGACTTAGGATGTTAATTTAAAACACAAACTATAGATCACTAGCAACTACTTTTGAACAACCAAGTTAATGAACTCGTATAGCTTTTAAGTTCTTTAGGTAGTAAATTAACTGATACCTAAGTTTTTATTTTATATATTTATAAAATTATCTAAATTTACCTTACCCAGAATATTTTTCATAGAATTTTGACTTATAAAAATAACATTTTTAGCTATTAGTTAATTAGTAATAATTTATAACTACCTATTATAACTTATAAGTGCTGAAAATTTAGATAAGTGAAGTTTAGAAGTAGTGGATGAACTTCCATTTTGTAAGTACCTCTGCTCTGTGCTACTCCTTTCAACATCTAAACTTTAAGTAATTATAAATTTATAGCTAATTGACAGGATGTACCTCATTTTAAAATTGATTTCGTTACTTCGATTTTATCCGAAAAATATTCCGCTTTAGAATATTAAACTGATAATAGGCACATAATATAATCATTAAAAACAAAATGAAATATGACAACAAAATTAAATTTAAAAATAATTGATTTATTTAAAAATAATTTTGTTTTGTAATGACTTAAAACTATGTACAAACAATTTATACACTAAGAGTAAACGAAATGTATTTATTTTTTACTTTTTAAAATAATTATGAGTCTTTACCATTAAAAGAATGAACCTTTATACATTTTATTATACGCAATACACATATTATTATGTTTGCCGAACACAACTATACAAGCGATTTTATTCATCCTACGTGTGTACTCAAGAGTCCTACAAGTGAGTATAAAATAATGATATTGTTGGTATTCGTCGCTTAATGATCTCCTAAATAATATTATGCTCATAATATCATGTATAAGTACAACACTGACCACAGTATTCCATGCAGACATTTCATTTAAATAACAACGCTACATACATTGCGCAATTCACCAAACATGCTATTTCCCCCATTTTTTTTCATTAAAAAATGAATTTATTGATATTCCGATTTTTGAAATTTATGAATATACTTATGAAGACCATATTTTTCAATTCTTAAAATTGTTGTATAATTCATAGTGTACAGTAGTGTATACTTAAAGGGTTCCCTGTGACGATACAAACTTCGGTTTTCCAAACTAGAACCACCTACCTATTCTAATATAAATTATTTAGTAGATAATTATTCTGAAAATTTTTTTCTATGCACCTAAATCAAAATTTAAAGAAATAATTTTTTGTATACTTGTTAGGCGGCAATCGAGTGAGTGTTGTAAAAACAAAAATCCAAGAAAAATACAACTTTCGCGTTGAATGCCTAAGACCATACACATGTTTTTTGACCCATTTCCCCTTAATATTAGATACACTCCTGAGTACTCTTATGTCGACTAAAGTGGCTAAATTATAGAAACCTAACATAGCACTACTGAGATGCTCGAGGTATTGCACGCCGACGCAAGACGGGTGCCTTATGAACCAAAATAGAAATGTATATTATACTGTAAAATGCTGCACCGATAGAACCTAATTCTTCTTCAACCAACGAGTTACGTTAGAAATAATATTTTTACAAACTATATTAAAACGTGTGGTCATTATCTGAGATTAAGATAAAAAAAATTTTAAACGCTGGCATACCCATACTATAGATTACTAACCTATTATAAACTAAGGGGGTCTTTTTGTTTTTTTTTTTGGGGGGGGGGGGCACAAATTCCTCTATCGTCTCCCCTGGATCCACCACTGGCAGTCGACAGCAATGGTCATTACCTAATATATTTATAACAATATAATACACCCGTGGATGTGGGGTTTATTGATAGACACGCGTAAAACGGTTAAAAACAAAATTAACGATATAAAATAACAGAAAAAAAACTGTAAAATTTTTTTCATACCGTCACGCTGCACAACGGACGGTAATAAAAAGGAGCTTAAGTTTTAATTGGTAAGCGAGACCGGTGGAACTTTTTAACGGCAGCCAAGGCGATGAGGAGCGGGTGCAAAAGAAAAAGAATAAAAAATAATTTTATACACCTATATATGCACAAAGCCCCGGGCGAGTCATAAACGCAATTTTTGCACAGCACAGTGTCCGCGGTCGGTGCAGGGCGGGTTCGGGGTGACAACACACACGGTTGGGGGTCTGGGCCCACGATTAACCGTACATATACCGTTTAAGCGGTTTCGTGCTGTTCGGTAATTACCGGTGGCATCGCGGGGAACAACCGTCAGAACGATTTGCGGGCGTGATAAGGTGGCGGCGGGTGGAGAGTACGAAAAAGGAAAAATAGCTAAAGCGATTCAATGAGTAAGCAAATTTGAGTCCACTATAAACACAAAAACACACACACACAAGCGTGTACGGATCAAAAAATATAATAAAACTAATCAATGCGCTTATGCGTGTGTGCGGCCGAGCGTTATGTTCACATCGGCTTACTGGCTCCAATTACATTTGAATAAATTGCAAACCCACATCGACTCTTTTATTTTTATTTTTTAAATTGCACGTACTTGTGCAGCACCGTCGGTGTTTATTTATTATTATTTTGTTTATCATCCCTTAAATAATATCCCGAACCTACTTCCGAAAATACGCTATAAATATTGTATAACAATCGCGTATTGTGTTGTTCTAAACTGAAGCTATACTGTGCATAGTTTATTGAAAAACAAAACGAATCATCTCCACGATAGTTGTATCCATAACGTGCCTTGATTATTCATAACGAATCCGAGTTCCAACAACGTCGTAATCGATTGAAATCGGTAGAGGTCCGTTATAACATTATTATAATAATATTGTTATTATTTCGAACACGTCTCAAAGCCCACTCCACCATCCTTGTCAATCACGCCACCGTAATAGCGTCGTTTTCGTTTCAACGCCATTTAATAATATTTGGATTTCTTATCGAGATGATCGATCAAAATTCGATGTGTCTGCTGCTTTCGGTTTTATGTATGTTTTTTGTATACGACGGCGCGTCGTATAGGCAATTTAACACCACAATCGTTTGGAATTCGATATTGTTACAAATTATAATAATACATAATAATATAATATTATTATTATTTAGTTACTCGTAGTTACTTTTATTAGGTACACACAAGAGTCAAGGGTCTCGACAACCGATATAGAAAAAATAAAATAAAATATTTGATTTTAACAGATTATTGTGCGTATTATAATACTTTGTACATAAGTCGTAAATCGAAATGCGCCGATGTTAATTTATATTGTACGAGTATAATACTCGTAATAACAATAATAAAATAATAATAACAATGATATTACAACTTGATCGTTAAGGCCAGCGGTCGCCACCAGACCAAAGTATAATCAGTCGCTAAAAGGTCTTAAACAACGTAATGCGAAACGTGTGATAGAAGTTTTCTTGTATTAAAAACTAAACGCCAAAGTTTTACTCGTAGAAACGTCCTTAATTCCGAATAGAATTTAGTTTAATTTATCTCGAAAAAGCGTGCTTCAATGCTTACTCGTTTAATTACTACGCTAAACGCTTATTCGAACCATTGTATCTTTACGATACCAGTCCTTAATTAGTTTGTTGTAATAAAAAAAAAATCACTATTAATTCATACTTGGCACTGGACTTTATTAAAATGATAATATATAATATTATTATTATTATCGTACTAATAACGTTAATATAATATTATTAGCAATTAATTTTTTTACCGTAATCGAGAGGAATATGATAAAACTTTCGAATAATGTTGTTTTT